CATGGACCCCAACCACTTCTCCCGCAGCCCTGGTGGCCGCGGCAACGCACGCGGTGGAGGCGCGAGAGGTGGCCGCGGCACTGCCAGAGCTGTCGCTAATACTGGTGCTGGACGTGGGGAAATCGTCTCCAACATCACCAATAGCAGCAATGGACCCATTGACCCAAACAGCTTTAGCCGTCCTCCACCGAATGGAGGTCGCTTTCGTGGTGGAGCTCGCAAATTGTTCATCCCGACTTAACCGTCATCGAGGCCTCAATCGAGGATGGACACTTCTACTGCTATATACAAAACGCTTGAACAAAACAGGCAAGCTCGACCTACCTATTCTTGTGGCCGTTGTCGAAAACCAATAGGCGGAGATACTACTTCTCAGAAACGCCATGGACGACTGCCTTCGGAGACGGAATGGATATCAAGCATTGCAAATTGCAATAACCCCTCGCTCAGCAGACCATGATTTGTGACGCCATGACGAAGGTGCTCAAGGAGTTTTTTACCACTTTACAGCAAAGCCGAGTCGCGCCATCAACTTCTCCAACAGAGAGACGGGAAGAACCGAGGGGATGGAAACAAGATTGTGAGTCAGTGAAGCTGAGACTGAGAGTGAGAATGTGAAAGGAGGATGATGGAGGGGAGTTTCCCATGGAGTTCTGAGGTTGAACCAGACTGTCATTACTGCTTAGTGAGATTTGATTACTTTCTTGTTACATGCACAAAATGTTATGCATTGATTTTTCTTGATTCTTCTGTACCAAATCGCCTGTGTTACAATCACTCACTTCTGAAGACGATATTGTGATTCAGAACCCCAACACTCGACATGTCGACATTTTGCTTCTCATCGCACCTTCCTCAAGCCCCGACCACTCCGCGCCTACCAATGGCCACCGACGTCAGTCTGCTTGATCGAGACCGCATCTACTCTCTCGGCGAGTATCGTCGTATAATCGAGTAAGTCAAACCTAACCAAAGCATACCTACGCAACGACATAAATATAAATGCCTGCATCCGGCGGGCAAGCCAAAGCCTCGATGGACTTACCTACGCGCCCTCGTCGAAAGCACAAGACTTTCAATTCGGGTCGTCCATTATTCAATTTTCCGACTACTCACCATCTCCTTATCACCACTCCAGGAGCTATATATGCATGGGACCATACAAACCTGAATCGTCTCTTCTCATCGTCCAAAACAGGCATTCTGGCCGCCAAAGAATCTAAAGACGGCAGCCAGTTCCTCGCCATAGCAGACCGACACGTCGTCGTACTCCATGACTGCAAGCATGATCGGGAGAATTCGTATGGTCTCGAAGCAAGCGAAAGCCCGGTCAGATTACTGGAATATACACCGGATACTCAGAATCTCTTGCTCAGCACCAGCATTACCGGTGCCATCCAATGCTACTCGGTCGGCACAGAGCACACAGAGGATGTGGGAAAGGAACACCCCACTCCTCCGACCGTCATGGCTGTCAGTCCGGATGGAGAGGTTATGATCTCTGCCAGTGAAAATCCCACTGTGGTATATTTGCAAGACTTAAAGAGTAGGATGCCAGCTAGACAACTACATCCCAGCGCTACTGAACAGAGTGTTGTTGTTGCTGCTTTTCACCCTGAACGTCCGAATATTTTTCTACTTGGCTTCAAAGATGGGACCGTGGTGGCTTATGATGCGATCGGGGCGAGAGAGGGCAGGACTGTTGGTGTAGACCCGAAGAATGCAAAGCAGGATCTCGATTATGTCGTCAGGGAGATTGGCCGCTTTGATTGCCTCCACCGCGTTACCAATCGTGCATCGGCTCAGGTCACTACTTCTCCTCTTGGAAATGGTCGAGATTTGGCTGCTGCTATGGGAACACAGAGTATGGGTGTTACAAGTGCCGCCTTCTTACCTGGCTATAAGAGCAGAGCTGTCTCTGTGGGTCGAGACGGGAGATGTAGGTTGGTCGAGTTCGAGGATGGAGGCAAAGTACTGAGGACCTGGGATGTAGGACCTGGTATTGAAGGACCGCGCATCTCAACGCCACTAACTTCCGTCTCTGTACTTGGTGTCAGGGAGAAGAAAAAGAAAAACAAAGTTGACCCAATTAACGGGAATGGGGACACTCCTTTCGTGCCAGTCAAGCAAGCGGTCAATCAACAATCTAACATGGTGCAGAATCCAGACAAACAAGCAATTAGCCATATCATCGCAGTAGGGAGAATGGACGGTACAATCATCTTGTACGATGCTTTGGGCTTAAAGATGCAAGCAATTATCGTTGATCAACTTCATGACCGAATCATCAGCGTCGAATGGATGAAAGGACCGAGTCCGAGAGCTTTACCATCTGGTCCATCTCGACCTGTACATGATCTCGCATAGGAGCCATCCAATCGGTCGATCGAGTATTTGGCTGTCGAGCACGAAAGACCAAGTACCTTCCTAACTCGCCCACTGCCTGCTGTGGTCAAGGCCGACGAGCAAGTCCTAGCCTTCCAATCCTCCAAGCAAGCCAGACAGGAGCTGAAAAGGAGACCAGACAAGAGGACGGCCGGTTTCACAATGAGAGGTGCTATGATTCCACCTGAAGAGTCCAGCACAGTTCGCCATCTCCCCAGTGCTCTCAAGACTGCTCCTCGTGTCAGATTTGCCCATGAGAGCCTGGGCATTTCGCCGGAAAAAATGAGCAACGTCGATCTGTTCTCTTCTGGTGATCTGATTCCCCTCCCGAAGCAATCGCCGATATCGCCAGCCGGAGGTGTGGCAACTTCCTCGAGATTGACATCTCGACCTCGTGTATCCAGCAAAACGTTCGTCCGCCATCCAGGTACTGAGATATTTCCAACTCCTACTACAGCAACAATATATTCATCCCCAAGTGAAGCTCCGTCATACCAGCTGCCCAGAAAGCCTCGAGCTCGACGAACGCAGCGGTACAGAAGGCAGCTATCCGACGGTAAACTCAGTTCTACCGAGAGTGTCTTCGGTAACTCAAATGGCGAGGATGGAATACATAAAACTCGCATCAGCATAGCTACACAAACTCAGGACTCCAACAAAACTCCTGTAAGTCGAAATAGCAGCGGCAATAGCGCTTTTTGTGCCGCTTATATGAATCGGACTGGAATATCTGGACTTGCCAGGACGAAGTATAGCTCACAAGTCAATGAAGATAAGCTAAAGAACAGTCCTCACTACAATGCTAGCCCCTCCCGGCCTCCTCTCGAACCGAGAGTAAGTGGACCCATGGGTATTACTATCAGTGTCGACGGCGGGACTAGCGCACTCATGAGCCCAGACCGTGGAATACCAGAAATCGCCCTCCAGAGAATTGATCCAAGGATGGCGTCTTCAATAACCAGATCTTCCGACCGCGATGTATGGCACACAATTACACCTGATGACTCTGACGATATGAGTCCCCGCAGACGACGTGAAATGGTGAGGGAGAGGCTGAGAGATTCGATTTCGAGACCGCTTGGTACTTCGCCCGTCAAATCGGAGGATTCGGATGTCACTGTACATACATACGCACCTCCTGGTAAAGATCAAGACACAGCTGCAATCTTAAACATGCCAGCTTTCCGCGCCAATCTGCAACCACAAATCCCGAGCCTTACGAAGCTTTCCCCCATGGTTCCTGGATTTGACTTATTTGTGGACCAGCCTGTATTCCCTGCGCCACTGTTCAGCACCCCAACTCGCCAATCAAGACATAGTCACGCTGTGCTCGGTACATCTGATGAGGCAATGTACACGGCTACCTCACGCATTGGTACAGATGGTACCTTTTGTCCTGCTTCAGGCGATATCCGTGGCTTTTGTCCTCGTTCTTCCTCGCTCTCTCCTCAACATCGCAATGCTTCTTCGCGTCATAAACAGCGCAGAAAGAAGAAAGACAAGGCATACGCGAAGCAGTCCTCGCCGTACGAGAGATTGAGCAAGGCGGCGCTCAATAATCCAGCTTTCAAGCCTTCTCCAAAGGACCGAAGGGGCCATGTATCAGGCTTTGCTGCGGCTCCACCTCCAGTCTTCGAGTGGGGCCCAACAGTCAATGCCGAGAAGTATGCTCATGCGAAAAGCAACACACATCCAGCCCTCCGCCATCAACCAGAACCCAAAGCTGGTATTGACTTCAGCTCGATCATCGATCTCTACAGCACCAGTCTTGCCGCCAACAGCAATACATCAAGTGATGTCATGGCCAAAATCAAGGCGAACGCGAACGCCACCGTCAAAACCAACGCCCACGACGCCATCAATCGAAGGCATGTTGCCGCAAGGAATGCAGCCTGGGCTCTTCTGGGGAAAAAGCCACTTCCACCACTACCCCATGAAAAAGAACCGAACATAGCAGAAGCCAGAGCAGGCAAGTCTGGCGTCAAGCGTGCCAACGCGCAATCTTTCGATGGTGGAAACACTGCGAAGGAAGATGAAGGAGCAGATGCCGCACAGCAGGGCAATTCGAAAGGAGATATGCTATTGGTGCATCCCGGCATCGGCACCAAAGACCGGAAGTTTGTCGAGGTACTGTCGACTCCCACAGTAACCGAAAGAAGAGAGGACGGCAAAGCAAAAGACAAGCCGGAGAGATGCGGAAATTGCAGGATATTACTTAAAAGCAAGAGGGAGTTGCAGGAGGAGGTTCATACCTTGAGAGGTGAGATTGTTGCTCTGAGGAGGATTGTTGATAGAGGCGGGCGATGAGGTTGGTGAGCGAGTCTTACCTTGCGTTGTATTCACAGTCCATTTCTCCCCCGTCGAGCTATTGTGGGTCATCCTCGAATTACTCGGTGGAAATGACAGACCTACTACCCACGCCTGATTCTCTTGTATTCGGCAAATGCTTCACTAAAGACCTCATTACTAGTCCAGAACGGAAAAGAAAAATAGTAGAAAGTATACAGACAGTACGAGCAATAAAGGTAAGACCAAGACTGCTTGCTTGCTTATTACTTGCTTGCTGACTTGTTTCCAAGGTCCATGTTCATTCAGCAAGCAAGCAAGCAAAAGAATGATTCCGCCCGGGTTCGAACCGGGGACCGCCTGTGCACGAAACATCGGACTTGATATTGTTAGACAGAAGTGATAACCAACTACACCACAGAACCAGCGATGGAGTTTCGCAAGCTTAATAGGGAATATCGAAGTGGAAGTGAGATTGGAAGAGCATTGTCAGGGATAAAGCGAGAAGGTTGGGGATGAGGTAGACGTAGGTTGGGGTTTGGATATACAGAACAATAAAGAAAGTGAAGAAAGAAAGAAAAGGGAAGAAAATTTCACATTTTCCTTTGGGTTGGGGTTGGAAAAACCTTGTGAAGAATTTTTCTTTTTTTTACAGCACAACAGCAACCGACCACTGGTGTAATCAAAATAAAACAAAACGATTTGAAACTTGAAATAGAACCACGACCAACAATAGCTCGGGATACAAAAGTGGTAGATAGTAGTACAGGGAGAGAGGCTATAAGCAAAAAGTGATGATCAGAGTGGGATTCGAACCCACGCCATTTCTGACTAGCGAATAGATGGTCACTCCGAGGAGCGAGACCTTAAGCTAGCGCCTTAGACCGCTCGGCCATCTGACCTATTTGATGAGAGATGGAGGGCTGAGAGAGTTTATGGAGTTTCAAAGTGAGAACGGGAATTTTGGTTGATATTGGCGGATTTTCTTCGGGGCTGGTGGGGTTGTGGGTGGTTTTGGTTACGTAAGGCGTGTTATTGTGGTGTTCGTGGTGGTGGTGCTGGTAGTTGAAGTATAGTTGAGAGGAGCTGGTGGGCGTGAGAGTGATGATGGGTCTGGATGATATGAAGTAAAGATTTAAAGATGACTAATTGCTGATGCCGTGGTTTTGTTGGGACGGAAGACAAGTGAAGGGAGATTAAGAAGGTCAGGATGTCGGTGTGCGCGATGTGTTCGTCGAGGAGCCGTGTCGATGTGCTCCAGAAAGATGAATAAAGAAAAGGTTGTAGACGATTGGAAGGCGTCAAGTGATGGTATGATGTGGACTGGAAGAGAACAATCGAAGTCTGCAATCAAGTCGATGACGCGACGTGGTTGCAAGAGTCTGCACGTTCAACGCAATGAGCACTGCCAACGGGAGAGCCTTGTGAAGCCTTTCGACACAAAAATTCAGGACGTTTGTGAACAGACCTTACCGATGCCCTTCTGATGGAGTGTTGTCCAGGTGTGTGGTTGAAGTGACGTGGAGGATGACATATTCGGACGAGAGGTTTATCCGACCCGAATGGCCGTACAGCTTGCTTCGTTTCAATCATGGCACAAAAATACACTTCTGGAGCGCATCGATTCAATTGGTCCAATCTGTTGATGATCATCTGCATGTCCTTTGGTAGCATGTTCTATGGTCACAGCGCATCCATCATTTCAACAACCCTCGCACAGCCCACTTTCATGTATACCTTATGGGACAAGCCTCATGCATGTTGGGTGCCGAGCTTGGCGCCAACGCGAAGGTAGCTGGGAATGTACTTGGGGTGACCTGGGTCGCGAACGTATGATGGGTTGGGGTTGCTGGCAGGTCAAACTCTTCTGGTAGATTCCACTGCCTTCTCCAGTAGTTGCGTGAAGGGAGTTGCGATGCGCATACGATGTCCTGACAATGAATTACAATGAAACATGGACCTAGATTTGGGTCCAATGCCAGTTTCGAAAAGCAAAGCCTTCTTCGTCAGCAACTTTCGCGTTCGAGTCTACGACTACCAGTGGGCTTATCAAGGCTTCCCGTTCTGCTGATGTAGCTATGCACTTCGCGTAGCTTCCCTCTACGGATTTTATGTACGGTCTTTGGAGGCGCCCCTGAGTAGGACCCATCGCCGTCTTCACTGGCTGAGGAATCACAGTTCCTGGAATCCAAAGAACGGTGGTCATAGCTGGTGGCGTTGATTGCGCAGGCCTTGCTGTGAATCGAAGCGAGTGTCCTCCGCCAACCCCGCCTGGCGAAGGCGTTCCTCGCGATTGCGTTCGAGGAATTGCGCTGCGTTCACCTCGGCTACTTTCTGGATCACTTGAGGTAATGCTCTTGCAAGTGCTGCCTCGACCATTGCGGAGATCCTTTCTTTTGTCATAGGACCTGGGTCCCTGTGGCTGGCAGCGGGCTGAGATCCGCCATCCAAGCAAAACCTCGATACCATAAATGGTCTGTATCAAACTGGTGACTTCTTGGGAGTCTTTGCAACATCCTAGTTATCCGGTTGCGACGGACGAAAGGTTGCAATCATTGTTCTTGTGGTCATCAGCTCCTTGAGTGGTGTCCTTCTTGCTGGAAGTGTAAATCTAGCAATGTTTATAGTATCTTGCTTCACATCTGAAGCGGGGGCTTTCATGATTCTGTCGGCCATCCCAAACTGGACGAATGAAGTCGTGCCCCCTCGTGAACGAATAATACTGGGGGACATTCATGGTTCGGCCTTGTCATTCAGTCTCGATTGATTCAACAAGGCAAAAGACGTGCTGCTTTTTCAACTAATCAAAGCAGACGATGGGCAATACGGAGATCGCAGGGCCAAGAAGGTGGGCTTTGCTGCGTAAGTCTATGATATCTCAACATCTCTACCTCTCGATATGCTATTATAGCAAGCCGACTATAGCCCAATCCTCTATGATAAACCTTGGAGACTTAAACAGAACAACGGCTTGTGTAATCAGCGGTTGGCTGAATTTAGTATTCGATTGCGGCTGTATCGCTCTTTTTCGTCATTGATCGCCTACCACGTCCAGTACGGACGCTACCTTAGGAGGGAAAACTAGAACTAGGTATATTGTTTCCTTCGAGCAGTGTAAGTGGCCATCATAATCTCCATCTGATGTCAAAATCAGGTTCATTTTCTATCAAAGAAAGACCTTTTCGCGAACTATTCTCTAAAATGACAAGAAAACCTCCTTCAGCTTTTGGAAATTAGGTGTACCCAGTCCAGTGACGGGATCCCAACCAACCGTAGCATTCCAACTAGCGTATGGGATGATACCGGCGCCTGGAATCACTTCGTCGGTCTGCAAATCGACTCCGGCGCAGCCTAGAGATCCACCGTTGACGATATCGTTCAAGCCCTTGGACCCGATGGCATACAGGGCAGGGTTCACAAAGCCCAGGACTGGTTTTCCAGCACGGAGACGAGCATCGTTGAGAAGAGCCAAGATTGCGGCAACGACTGGAGAAGCGGCAGAGGTACCTCCGTTGGGAGTTGCTTGTCCATCAATCACTGTGAGATAGCTGGATATGTATCAGCTAACAATCATGTCAAGGATCTGTTCTGAAGCGACTTACTCTGGGTACAAGCTGTGAGCAGCAATATCAGGGAATCCACGACTGGAAAAGTCTGTGTAGTTGTTCGAGGCGTAGTACTCCTTTGTCGCTGGACTGATGTGCTCGCTCAGGTATGTCTCGACAGCTGCCTTTTGATACCATGCTTGCTTGAAATAGTTGCTGAAGCCACCGCTGCTGGCATTCCAGGCATACTCTGGGTTGTAGAACTGTGTTCCACCGACGGCGGTAACGTATGGGCAAGTAGGAGGGAACTGGGGCGTGAATTGGGGTTGGTAGGGAGCAACGTTGTTTCTGCACACAGCTCCCACTCCCTCATCGGCGGAGGATTCTAGAATAGTCCTGCCTCGAAGACCCATCATACCAATCATGTTGCAAACTCGTTTTGCATATTTCTCAGGAACGGTGTTTTCGTGATCGCCGTAACTGTTCGAGATGACATAAGGAAGGTCCGAGTTGGGCTGATAGAGAAGATACTGATAGTACTGGAGGTAAGGCTCATTCTGTTCCGTTGATGCATTAGGAGTGAGCAGATCAGGAACGAAAGGTGGCAAGCCACCCGTGATGTATTCGCCGACTGGTAGACCATCCACTAGGCCAATGATGTTTTGTACATCGAGGTTGGCTTCGCCATCTGATTCCGTATCTGGGTCCTGATTATCGACTCCGCCATTGATGAAAGCCAAGACAGTGAAATTTTGGGAAGGAATGTTGTAGATGTTCTCGAACTGAGCTAGATCGGAGTAACTGGCTGATTCATTCAAGAAGCTTCCGAATGCAATGCTGCTTCCGGACTTGGGATCAGCTGTGTAGTTCCCAACATTATAAAGCTCCTTAAGACACCCCGGTCCAATCAAGGTGTAATTTGTGGTCACGTTCGCAGAGATGGGATATGCAACCGTCATCTCACATGAGGTCTGGAGCTGTCGCTTCTCCAAGGCGTTCTTGAAAGCTTCCGATCCACGAACCCGTGGGACGGCATTGTGAGTCTTCATGTTGCCAAAATATGTGGTTGGTGAGATCAAGTCAATGTGTTCGCCAAGGCCATTGGGAATCGAATAGCTCGTTGTGCGAAGTCGCTCTGTCGTCCCATCTGAATAAACTTTGAATTCAGTGTCAAGCATAGTGTTGGCGTTTCCAACAGTGGTCAAGAAAGTAATCATGCCACCATCATTGACAATGTTCGTGGCATTGGCACTCTGAAGCCAAGATACGACTTTGCTTATAGATGCATTCGAAGGTGCAAACAAAGAGTTTATCCCATCGATATCGAGATATTTGCCATAGTCTGGACTGCCTGGAGTGGAAACACTAGCAAGTTGAGACTCCAGACGATCGATGTTTTGATATTGCCTGTGAGATCAATTAGCTTTTCTTGAACTCTGATTTCTCGCACTTGTAAACTTACAGAGCTACTTGCAACTGGATAGTAGTGTTGTTTGACACTGTGGTATCAGACTCTGCCCAGCCAGACGGTAGAGACGTCAGAGACTCGTGTACAGCTGCAAACGTGGGCAAGACGAACGAGAGTAATAATTTCGTGGACAACATCTTGGTAACAATCGAAGGAAACACGCTCAAGACAGAAGCAACAACAGCGCGACATAACTGGGGCAATTATATAGTGACCTCATCAATTGTCTTCGAATTCTTGTGGACCAGCTGCCTGTTCGGTACACCAATTGCTGCTTCGTGACGCTTCTCTGCAGAGATTGTGCGTCTTTTACCTTGATTAAAGCTACACTAGAACGCCGATCATATGTAGGTGTAGCCTTCTCTGGAAGGTCGGCTTCATATTTTCCGACCAATTTAAAGCCAAAATCTTTGGATATAGATTGATTAGACATCGGCAACGTGATAGATGACTTGATAGAATCGCCAAAAAGCGTCTCTCCGATTTTGCTTATCTTATCATTGAATGTGGCGCGTGTTCTCAGCAACATTGCTTGGTGCAAGTGATATAGAGTCACTTAAAGATCGAATGCGCACTTCTTCGCGAGCATACTCAGGACACGCATACCATCCCTAATTCCTGGATGCTAAGATTTGGCTCTCGATGCTGTAGGTCAATAGTTGGAGACTATCAGCGACATGTATCCACATTGAGAGGAGGTCAGAGAAGTCTTGTCTGCGAAATCAGGGTCGTACAACGGGAAGTGCATAGTCGCTTTCTGAAGCCCGCCGTACCCCGCAACCAGTGAAGATTGGCGCTTTACCTCCTCCAAGAGTGCAAAAGTTATGTATTTCTTGGGCTATAACTCAAGTGTCGACGTTATCTACTCTAAACAGCGGTGTCGCATACC